TCCCTTCATAGAGAAGCATCTTTGGGCCTCTTCTAATTATCTCACTTTTATAATTGTGCCCTAATCAACTGGCCACACTGCATGAATGACAACATGTGCCCCGGTTAAATGGTGGTGTCTGCATAAACAGTTCTGTCTGGTACCACAGGGAGAACGTGAGCGTGATAAAGCCGGGCGCTCCAATTCCAACAAATCTCCAGTGGTTATTCTCAGCAGAAGCATCTAAATTAGAATTTGGTTCCATTTAGCTCAGCGTCCTACCTGTAGATTAAGAGATTTTTCCTTCAGACAACACAGCAGGCTAAGCAGATCAACCCACTTCAATCAATTGTACCTGATGAAATCTTTGTTGCAGTTCAGATTACAATCAATTTCTGGGGTTGGCTAGCCTTTGATGAGACTCCTGCAACCCTTTCGAATTTATCTAGGCCTCTGTGATTACCTTCACTTACTTTTTGATTAAGGAAATCTATCTCATAATTTTAGAAGCAAAGTTAAGAAAGGCACTAGTCACTTAGGAAGAACTGGCTAATGAACAAAATGGCCTATCTTTATTCCCCCCACACCTGTTCTCTCTGTCGTCCTCTTTTCTGTGTCAGAATGAGTTGATTTGGCCCAAAGAAGCAAAACTGAATTTCCTACAGTAACATTTTTTTCAAGGGCTAGTTAACTCTTCTGTTTGATTGAAAAAGTTTATGTTGGATAACATCTGACATAGGGAATAAATACTCAGAAAGAAGTCCCGAAACCTTTTTGTTTTTGATAATTGCTTGATGAAGCTGGAAAAGGTCTTGAGTTGTATAAAGCACATTGGGAAAATGAGCCTGAACTGGCATCACTTCTATTTTGGGGTTTAAATGAAAACTTCCATGTTAAGATAAAGAAAAGCATCTGCCAATGCCTTAGTCAGCTGGCACAGAGGAGGCGCTCACTGAATATCTGATGGTGCAAGACAAGGGGTCGAATCAGGAGCCCCCAGCACTCTCTGCAGGGCAACGTGCTGGGTTTCTGGGAAGTCCAGCAGGCTTCAGTGATTGGATTCTTTGGTTCCTAGGGACTTGTTGTTCATTCTTATCTCCAAATTTGAACTTACAACTTGGAGACCTAAGCAAAAGGAAAAGACAAATATTCATGGGAGACTGGTGTGTCATATTAAAATTCTAGATTCATTTAGAAAAGTATATTACTTTTATGGAGAGGGACACACTTATGGGTAGTGCTATCATGGAAGAAACGGCCGTTGTTGCTTCACACGTGGGATCTGCCCCTGAGATTTGTGTTCACTGGGGGATAAGGAGACGGGACCACTCCTTAGGTTAGGGATAATGAGCGCCGACTGCTTTTTGTCACGTTCAATATTATCAATGTAACAAGAGGGCAGAGAAAAGTGGACACTCTGAGTGTGCACTGAAGAGCCACTTTGCCTGAAAATATCTTTGCATGGCCTGACATGCCCCTGACATCCTCCTCAATAAGTCCACTTCTTGTAGACATTCTGGACCTGGTTATCTCAGCTACCTTATACTGAATATGGCTCTTGTGTACCAGTCACATAGAAGAAAGAAGGATATGACTTCAGTTGCTTTAGATCTGCTTAAATCTAGCTCTCAGCCCCATAATTCAGGCTCATGAGAAAGTTGGTCCCTGTCACTGTTGGGACCTCCTCTGTGTCCCAGGGTTGTACAGAGATGGCTTCCTTTACACAGACAACCCCCAATCACCTAGGAGAATCCTCTGATGGTGGGTTGGGGGTCCACCCTGCTCATATGGAGACACCCAATGTCTTAGATTACCTGATCCCTTTAGGTAAACTAGCTAGGCTGGCATGGGACTGACCCTGAGCCCAGAGTACTTGAGGAGGCTGGAGGCTCTCATGTAAGGATCTTGCCTCTTGTCCTCCCCAGGATCTTATCACCACCCAAGGATGCTAAAAGGCTTTGGCATGCAGGGCTTAATGCCCATGGATAAGACAACTACCTCCTGGTGTCTCAATCCTTCCATGAGGGACCCTGTCATCCAGGGATAAGAAAACAATAGCAGAACTGTCTTAGGTTAGTTTCTTCCACAAAAATACCCTGAGTCAAGCATTTAGTCCAAGGGATGTATCAAAGGAGATGAAATTAAGATAGACTATGTCTTATTTTTTGCTTTTTGTGCTCCTCTGTACCCCGGGAAGACTACTGTGATGTCATAGTTCACAGCAACCTCAAACTCTTGGGCTATGGTACTTCTCTTGCCTCGGCCTTCTGAATAGCTGGGCCTACAGACATGTGCCACTACACCCAGCTGGTTTTGCTATTTTTTAGTAGAAACAGGGTCTCACTCTTGTTCAGGCTGGTCTCAAACTCCAGAGGTCAAATGATCCTCCAGCCTGAGCCTCCCCGAGTGCTAGGATTACAGGCATGAGCCACTGCGCCCAGCCAAGTGAGACTGTCTTGAACTGAACTCCCAGGCTCAGCCTGATCCCATGGGGTTTCTAGGGAATATAAATTATATCTCAAGGAAGAAGAGTTGGGGTTTTGCATTTCCACACATCCATCAGCCATTGGCTGCAGGCCACTCTGGAGTGGGCAAGGGGGACAAAAACCTCCTAGATATTTTTCATCTCTACATACCAGCAAGAGAGTGCCCACGCCCAAGGTTGCAAGTGCCAGGTCCCAACTGCTACGCTCACATATGGAAATCAAGGGATGGGCGCCCTACCTGGGGGATCTGGGTGGGGCACTGTGGTGTTCATTACAGCAACTACCCCAAAGCCATCACATCTGCTTCTGTAAAGTGGCATCTCAGTGAACCACCTCATACAGATGCCGTGAGGAAAAACGAAAGCAAGACTAGAGAAGAAGGTCTCTGTTGAAATGTTTATCTGAGACAATGTTCCAGAGAAAAGCACCTCCAGTTACTGTCTTTTGTTCACAATGGTATATAAGGGAATGCTGAATTTAGTGTGTCTGTGTCCCCAGCATGAGTCCCCAAGGTATCAGGGCAATGTGCTATTTATGATCAATCGTAGAATATTTCTACTTAGTAAAGTAGGAGTTTGATGCTCCTTTGGGTCAGAAATGCAGATGTTTTAAGTCCTCATTTGCATGAAAACACCCATGCCACTAAGCAGATAGGAAACATAAAGCCTTTAAAAAATAAAATAGGAAAGAATCACGAATCTGTTCAATGGGGAGATATAAAGTTTTCTAAAAAGAGAAAGAATAGGAGGGGGGAAAAAAGATCGTTTTGAAATCTAGCCCTGGGGAAGAGCTCTGATGAGATATGGATGGTCTGTGCACCCACCAGGAAGCTAACAGAGAGAAAGGAATGGATGGAGGAAGTCTTAGAATACTCTTCAAAAGCATCCAGGACTGTGTGCAGCTTTGTAACGTACAGGAAATAAATGAGAGGGAAGACAGAATAATGCCCACTGGCCCTTTGATACAGGAACACAGCTTTCAGGCTTTATTGTGCAGGATTAAAAGAGATGAATGTACAGACTCCAGGGTCGGTACCCAGAAGCCTGAATCAGCACGCTAGATCCAGATGCGGGATCCAGGAACACAGATCTGGAAAGCCCATCATGAGTTGATCTTACCAGCAGCCCAGAAAACGGGGTGGGATATTGCATGATGCTAAAATAGGCCCAATAAAGGGCCTTTAGATTTCTTTGTGGTGTTTTCCTTAAGGCATATTCAACTTGGGCAATTGGCTCATGAAGGTAGTTAGGTGCCTTGTAAACAAAGACAAACAAAGGAAAAGAAAATTGTGTTATTCAAATTTCTCCCCAGAACCAGCCCGGTCAGGTAGTGTTATTATCCTGTTTTGCAGATGGGGAAGGCAAGGCTTGGAGAAACTATGTAATTTTCCCAGGCCCTCGTTCATTATGTGGAAGAACAAAGAGATTTCACTCTTCATGCTATCTGCCTGCCCCCAACAGATATTAATTGTGTCCCCACTGTCTGCGTGTGCCAGACACTGGGGAACCAAATGATTATCTGAATCCTTATTATCTGATCTTGGTGGCTATTCTTTTCTCACCAGAGTCTAGTGAGTACACTTAATTAAATTATTTCATGGAAAATTGTATTACTCTATGATTATGTGAGATATTAAAGAGATTTGCACGGGGTGAAGAGACTATGGGAGCACATGAGAAAAGGCATGAAAGACTGGATAATGTTAGATTTAGAAGCTTAGTAGGGAAGACCCAAGCTATTTTGCTTGACATATTCTTTAAAAATAACATCAGAAAACAACAAAAATAATAAACAACAACATTTGATGGTAATGTTTTCTGATTATAAGACTTTAAAAAATATATTAATAATTAAAAGTTATTTTTAATACTCTAAGCCAGAGATAATGACTATCATTATTTTAAAGTACATTCTTCTAGTTCCTCCCTCTCCCTCTCCCCTTGGTTCCTTCATATTTATCTGACATGGAGCTTTGTGAATCTGTAGGTTGATGTCTTTCATCATAGGAAAATTTTCAGCTATTACTTCTTTGCATATTGTTTCTGATCCATTCTCTCCCTTCTCCTTCTCCAGTGCCAATTACATGTACTTTTTAACCTTCTCACTATATCTCCTTTCCCTTACACTTCCCTATGCATTTTTCATCTTTTATTCTCTTTGGGCTTCATCTATGTATTTTAAAGTTATCTTTCAGTTTATTAATACTCTTTAGCTCTATCTGATTTGCTATTAGCTTGTCCATGGAACTTTAAATTTCTGTCATATACTTTTAAGTTCCGGGTTTTTTCCTTTGACTATTTTTCAAAGTTTGCTGTTTTCTGCTTCATCTTGTTGTTTATTCCTGTGAAAGTGTTTGGCAAAGCTATTTATAAGCAATGTCAGATAACTACATTATCTGTATCCTTTACAAATCTCTTTCTGTTGTTTGTATATCTCTTGATTTTTAGTCTTGCCTTTTGTCTTGGTCAATTGGGGCTGCTACAACAGAATGCCATAGACTGGGTGATTTAAACAACAAACATTTATTTCTCACAGTTCTGGAGGCTGGAAAGTCCAAGATCAAGGCGACAGAAGATTCATTGTCTGGTGAGGGCCTGCTTCCTGGTTCATAGATTGCTGTCTTCTTATAATAACCTCACAATGGTGGAAGGAGAGCCAGAGAACTTGCTGGGTTCTTTTTATAACACAGTTAATCCCATTCATAAGGGATCTACACTTAGGACCTAATCATCGCCCAAGGGTCCCACCTGCTAAGACTATGAAACTGGGAGTTAGGATCTCAACATATGAATCTGGGAATGGAGAGGACACAAATATTCAACTCATTGTACTTTCTATTGGAGCCTTAACTCAGAAGCTTCATGTCGCTCCATCCAGATGACATTCCTAAACAAGAACTTAAAACCAAACAATAGTTCTTATAGTTCTCCATCTAATTTAATTTTAGTTTTTCTGGGGTCATGAATAAGGAAATACTGCATGGAAAGTATATATCACAGGGGACCTGATTTTATAAATGTCATATTTATATAAAAGAGTATGCATCTAATAATTATGGAAGTATGGCTGTATTCCTCAGCCTTGGACCAAGGTGTTTTTGTATCCTGATTTGGTTTATCTTTAAGTCTTTTCTAAGCCTCTTCAGTAGGAGAAACAAAGTATCTGAATTGTCTTAAGTCTTTGTTAATTCCAAGGGCTCAAAAATGCTTCAACATTCCCACTAGTTAATCTCACATTACATATTGTAGGATGGTGATCCGCAAGACCCCTGCATATGGCAGATCATGGGGTGGGCAAATCCTTATAGACCATGGAAGCACTCCTTCTAAGGGCAGAAAAACTCAACTTTCAGACCTACCTGTCAGAGCCAACAGTAGATAGGATTTCTTATTTGCTACTGTGGCTGCTGTGGCTGGATCATAGTTCATTTTTTCTCAGTATTCTAGGACTGGTCTTCAATATCACCCAATCTTCCTTGGCCATGAGCTCTAGCAGAGATGGGGAACTATACTTAAATTATACAAATTATAGCCCTTTAATAGGCTAACTGGTGACAGATTCAAATCCCTGCCAGAGCCAGGCAGCGTACTGGGGGTTGTGAAGAACAGGCCCCGGTCTAAGCAGAGACACTTCTCAACTCCGGTTGATCATTGCCATGTGGGAATAAAGGCCCAGGGATGGAGGGCAAGGGCAGATATGAATTATGTTAGAAACCAGTAATTCAGATCTTTAGGTGAAATCCCCTAATGTTTATGATAGCAACTCATTCTATTTTTTAAAACTTGCGGGTATAACATGTCCCATCTTTTGAGGTGAGTGCAGTCTGTGTGTTCCCTCTGGGCTGCATGTGCAGAATTAAAGGAGTCTGAGCTCTAAGAAGGCAGTCCCCTCACTGAAGCCATGTGGATTGTTTGCTTTCTCTTCCTCCTCCTCCCACATCATAGAAGTATTTCAAAAAGATAAGCTGGAGTTTTCTGAGTCCACTTGAAGTGTGAAAAAAATGCATTTTCCTCCCTGAACCATCTCAAAAATTTTAAAACACTCACTCAGTGAGGTCCCTTTTCTTACACTTAAAATAGGGGTTTTAGATTCACCCACTAGGAAAATCACTGATATTACACAGCCTGAAAGCACACAGAGTATCATTAAGATTGTCTGCCACGGGTCTATGGGCTGTCTTAGAGCAGACAAACCAGTAATTCAGCTAATTGTAGCTATGTGGCCAACTTGCACATAAGAAAGTTGTTAATTTGTTTTTCATTTGCAAATATTTTAGAGGTGTTATCTGAATGCAGATTTTTTTTCTTGCCTGAAGGCAAGCAAGTAAGTTGCTAGGAAGGTAATGGGGACAGTTGAGGGCAGGGAGGGGGAAGCATGTCAAATGCATAACTGCATTGCATGGGGACTGTTTTAAAGGGATTAGCCTATGTCTTAGAAAAAGTGATTAAAAAGCAAACCAGGGAGGCGGATAGAGTGATTGGCACTCAAATTCAATAATTAAAGGTTGGATACTTTAGGGGCCTCTGTTTCCTTAGGCAGGTCATATTTAGTCCCTTGCCATATCTACTTGAAAAAAAAGTATGTTACCCATCAGATAGACTATTTCTAGAATATATCTAAAAATCCTGTCTAGTGCTCAGAATAGCTGCTGATTACTTTAAATAGCTGTCCGACAGGAGTCAAAGAATAGAAATACCTCTATAATGAATATTACATGTTTGGATGGAGAGTTCTATTTGCAGACCAAGGGATATTTGTTGTATCTCTGCACTTATATTGTTCACTAGTGTTTTTAAACTATAACTTTCAACACACTTATGTTCCTGGAGATTCAATATAAAATCTAAATTCGTTTTATCTATCCACTCTTGTTTCCCATGTAGGAAACTGAATAGTCTGGTTTAATTGCCCAAGCTTTAGGGAATGAAGAAGATAATACAACGACACTGAAAAACAGTAACTCTTGCATACTGATCATAAAACTTAGGTGAAATATTTATTTTGTCCAGGCCTGCCCAGCTCTCACAGTTTGAGAAAGAAATGAACAAGGCCCTATAAAAGCCAGGTTTGGTGTCAAGTTTATTTATATATAGAATGAAATATCTTTCAATTTAAGAAGAGGTTATTAAAACAAAGGGAAGAACGTGTCTGCTGCAAGCATTTTCTATTATCAGATGTCTCTTGGCAATTCCTTTGAGCACCACTGTTAGCAGGTTCTATATCAAAGTATTTTTAATTCAATGAAACATGAAAAGATGCTATTCTAAAATTGAATGACTCAGATGTTAACAGTTTTCCCTTCCTTTTATTTTCACTTTCAGTCCTTGAAGAAAGAAACTGCTCAGATCCTGGGGGTCCAGTCAATGGGTACAAGAAAATCACAGGAGGCCCAGGACTTATCAGTGGGAGCTATGTGAAAATTGGCACCGTCCTGTCTTTCTTTTGTAACAATTCTTATGTCCTCAGCGGCAATGAGAAAAGAACTTGCCAGCAGGATGGAGAGTGGTCCGGGAAACAGCCCATCTGCATTAAAGGTAACTTGCAGGTGTCCCTGAAGTCTAGAGACATTCTTGGAGTTATGGGACTTCGTGGTAGCTCCCAGGCATGTTTTTAAGCCCTTGAAAAAATACCTTTTAGCCTTATTACCCCTAGAGCCTTATTTAACTTTTAGGTTGGAAACAGTCCTAAAAACATTTGCATCTCAGCGCCTGTGGCTCAATCGGCTAAGGCGCCAGCCACATACACCTAAGGTGGCGGGTTCGAATCCAGCCTGGGCCTGCCAAACAACAATGACAGCTGCAACCAAAAAATAGCTGGGCGTTGTGGCGGGTGCCTGTAGTCCCAGCTACTTGGGAGGCAGCGGCAGGAGACTCGCTTGAGCCCAGAAGTTGGAGGTTGCTGTGAGCTGTGATGCCATGGCACTCTACCCAGGGGGATAGCTTGAGGCTCTGTCTCAAAAAAAAAAAAAAATTGCTTCTTTTGGGGGGGGCCTTAAGAGGACCTGCTAATCTTATTCATGACATCTAGAGGTGATCATAAAGAGTGGTACAGTTGTCAGAGCAGTTTCGGAAAGATGACAAGTCTGAGTTTAGATATGCAAATCCACAGAGTTGAGGCAATTTGTAAGCATTTACATAGGTACGCTTAATCTACTTTCTATGCGATATTAAGTTAGTATGAGAAATAAAAGAACAAAATAGACACATCTTCCCTACCAGCCTATGGAGGGGGAGGATTGAGATGTCAAGATGTTTAAAACCAAAGGCAGACAGTAAACACTTGTACATTCAAGGGACAGTTACGGGAACAGAGTGGCGGCAGTTCAGAAAAAGGAGGGCTCACCATTCCTGAAATAGGGACAATTTCGTGAGTCAGGTAGAATTAGGGTGAGTCTGGAAAACTGGGAAGGATCTGCAGATATGATGAAGATTTGGGATGATATTCCAGATAGAAAACAGAGGGGAAAAAATGTGTAGGCAGAAGTGACACAATTATGGCAAACTCAAAGTAACCCAACCTGGGAATCTGGGAGGTAAATTTTAAAATGTCTTTTGGGACCAGAAGAACGGAAAGTAGTGTAGAGAAGTTTGAGCCTTCCCTGCTGGCAGTGGGGGTGCCAGCAGGATTGAACTGATTCACGAGTTGCTGCAGGTTGACAGCCCCTCCAGTTGGAGGGCAAGCACAATGATCTGGCTGTTTACTGGGAAGAAAAGCATGTCCTTGTCCTAGATTATCCAGATAATTGCCTTAATCCTCCACTTTGCCTTCTGGGTGTTTGTCAACAACCTGAATCATGGGAAAAAGAATGAAAGGGGATGGCTTGTGAAAGGAGTAAATCACTTTAGACTTCAGCCAGAAGCGACCTTCATCCCCATCAGCCCAGATCCTGATTTTTTATTTCATTAAGTATGGGAACAGTGTCACATATGTCCTTGGAGGGTTTTGTCAACTCTTCTCTTACAAATTAATACAACCAAAGTTCTCTAAGTTCCTAATTAGATGAATGTTGGCTGCCCGATTGGAAAAGTGAGATGGGAAGGATTCCTTTTCACTTGTGAAGAAAGAGAGTCTTCAACAAATTAAACTGGGCTTTGAATTGCCCTCAAGTGATTTTTAGGGGCCTTAACTTCAGAGAAAGGACACAGAGGAATCAGTTACCCAAGACTTATCTGTGGCTGACGCTGCTGTCAGATTTCAAATGAGAACATTTTAATCAGGTTAAGTTTGCTAGTATGATTCATATTAACAGTTGATCCTAATCTAGTGACTGCTATTGTTCCAATCACGGAGATGGAGCAGCTTTTCAGAGGATGTAGCTGCTCTGCTTGGGTTCTTTAGACAGGGCTGTCAATTCGGGAGAAGGACGGCAAGCTCGTTTGCTACGTGAACTGTAGGGGCTTGGGTGGGATAGTGTGCCTGGCCTCTGAGAGCTTGGGGAATGGACACCTGACCTCCAGAAAGAGTGAACAGGTGCAAATCTGAACTGAATGATGTGAGCAGTGACTATGGGAAAGGATCACGCAGCACTGTCCTTTTTTGCTTTTTTCTTTTCTCTCTAGCATGCCGAGAGCCCAAGATCTCAGACCTGGTGAGAAGGAAAGTTCTTCCAATGCAGATTCAGTCAAGGTGAGGTCAAAATACCTGCCCTCAAGACCACTAATGACTATTTCCCTCCCCCTTCCTTTTCCTCTGCTGTGTTTGGCCAAAGGCGACCCGGGGTTTCTTAGGGACATTGAGTGCTAACCAGTCATGAAAGAATAGGGCTTGTTAGATGAAAGCTTATTAGCCAGCTGCCTGTAGCCAAGAGGTAGCAACTATTGGAGAATGTACAAATTTCACTGGACCGTGGGAAAGTGGATGGTTAGTGAGAAGCAAGACTTTGAGATGATCTTTGAGGAACTGGATTCGAATACTTGCGTCTTCCTGAAATTACTATGTATTTATTGTGGCAGCATCTAGGGAGGTGGCATTTCTACTAAATGCAACCAGCTATGATTTAGCAACAATGATCTTGCTGGTAACCAGTCAGCTGAGGCAAACCAGTGGGGCCCAGGAACTAGAGAGAAAGGATCAGACACTCCCTGTGTGTGGAGGGACGTGAGCCCTCAGGTATGGCCAGATTTTCTCCTGGAAAGACAAAGGTGAGGACCACTTGGTGGGGGAGAGAATAGGCCTGTTTCTACTCATGTCCTCTGCTGTGTTCTCCTCACTCTCCCCACTCCAGCCAGGAAAACCAGGACTCCTTGGGTTTCCTCCATCATGCCATGTATAATTCTGCTTTGCACGCTTCACACCCGTGGCTCCTTCTGTCTGGAACACGATTCCATTGGATGACAAGACTTCCTTTTCCCAGTTCTCTGCTCAGTTTTTGCCCAACAGCAACTGCACCTCCACCCTGAGCGAGCGGCCTCCTTTCCCCAGAGTTTTCTGATCTTGCCTGTGTTTCTGTTTCTGTCTTAGCATCCTTCTTCACCTGCTCTTACCTACCTTTTGTTTGTTTTTTGTTTGGTTTATTTCAATTGCCCTCACCCTCCCCCAAATGTGAAAGTTACAAGTGCCAGAACATTCCATGTTTTACTGGTGCTGAAGTTCCAGTGTATACAGTGTGCCCTCTGTACGTGTTGAGTGAATGGGTTGGTTGACAAACAAGGTCCACAACCTGGGTCTGCCTCTTTTTAGTGCTCAGGTGTTCCTGAGCAAATTCCTAAACTTTCTGACCCTGAGTTTCCTCTCGATACCAGGTTGGACAGTTATGTTCAAAAACTCACCCACCTTCAATGTGGAAGATTTGTAAGACAGGATATCCATCAGTCTCGTACCATTCCCCAGACTATTTAATCCCATTTTTCTTTCCCTTGTCAGAGTAGGCATTTCCTAGGGAATAGTGGCAGTAGAATCCAAATTCTGCTCCCTTTTCTGATCTTTGTGATTACTCTGGGCTAGACTCTTCACTAAGTAACATCAGCCTGTTCTTCTCAAGGAGAGGACTTATAGCAAGGACCCCTGAGCTATTCAAAAAGATCTCTGGGCTTCCTGGTGCTGAAGCAATCTTTTTTTTTTAAGACTGTCTCTCTCTGTTGCCCCAAGCTAGAGTGCCATGGCTTCAGCCTAATTCATGGCAACCTCAAACTCCTGGACTCAAGTGATCCTCCTGCTTCAGCCTTCCAAGTAGCTGGGACTCCAGTTGCCCACCATGATACCAGCTAATTTTTCTATTTTTAGTAGAGATGTAGGCCTTGACCTTGCTCAAGCTGGTCTCCAACTCCTGAGCCCAAGGAATCCTGCCCTCAGCCTCCCAGGCATGAGCCACAGCATTCAGCCTATTGAAGCAATTTTTCATGGGAGGCCAGGTGCCAAGATGCCTACAACGTGGTTTCAAGTATCTGCCTGAAAGGTGGGCTGCTGTAGTGCTATTTCCAGAAGCCAGGGTCACCCAGAAGCCCCCAAAGGCAGTGTAGACATCCTAAGGCTAAGTGAGGAGCTTGTTTACAAGTTCAAAAGCTCCCTGAACTACAGACTTGGTTACAAATGTAAGCTAAGGATTTGTTAAATGAAATTAACATGGATGGAATATTGCTTGGAGCCAAGCACTATACAGATATGTGAAATATATTTCTTATGACGATATCAAATTGGGGTGATAGAGACACCAGGGTGGAAACTGCGACTGCTCAGCACTGTCTTGGGTACCATGTTACTTTATTGGGTGCCCCTGAGTGCTCCCACTTACCTCTATGAGTTTCCTTTCTCCATTTATTAAATAGGGATGAAAACACAGATTCATTCCTAACGGGATTCCACCTTTTCAGTTGACAATCATTATGTGCCAGTATAAATGAAGGTAAGCTGTACAAGAATTCCCCGAGAATCCCCGAGTGGTCTGCGGGGGGCTTCAACTTCAGGGCTCATTTAATATCCGTTTCCACATTTACACACAGTGCTTCATATTTCTCCTTAGTCAGAGCGCCCTGAGAGAAAGTTCTATTCTCTGAGGTGTGCTAATCACATCTGCTAATTGCTAAGTCAAGCTACTGTATCAACACAGTTTAGTCTGAGTCGATTCCTAATATGGCCCCATTATGATAATGTTTGGAGAAAAATCTATGCCTGCATTTCTCTCATTCGAATGAACTCCCTCTTCTGTTTAATGTTGCAATTAGTTGTTTTGTGCACGCTTGTATAACGTACCTTCAGAGAGCAGCTATTATACCAGATATTATCCTCTTTGGTTAGAGGTTTCAGAAGTTGGAAATGTGCCAGAAATGGAAATTAGAGGAATAAAATGGACAGTGAGGTGTGTGCAAGAGAATTTGTTCAGTGGTAGAGGTGAAGCGTCCGTGTGTGTGTGTGTGTGTGTGCGCGTAGAGAGAGAGAGAAGAAGATAGCCATGTTATTCTTCTTCTGTAGCCATATATCTGCATGGGGCTTGGCAGAGACTAAAACAGCCATAGTGACTCTCTCTTGCCTTGCTCTTTCTTTGGGCCCATGTGCCCTGATTCAGGGAGACACCATTACACCAGCTGTATTCGGCAGCCTTCAGCAAGCAGAAACTGCAAAGTGCCCCTACCAAGAAGCCAGCCCTTCCCTTTGGAGACCTTCCCAGTGGGTACCAACACCTGCACACCCAGCTCCAGTACGAGTGCATCTCACCCTTCTACCACCGCCTGGGCAGCAGCCGGAGGACATGTCTGAGGACTGGGAAGTGGAGTGGGAGAGCCCCATCCTGCATCCCTAGTGAGTCAAGTCTCCACCTTGGGCTGGAAAATCTTCCATATTTTTTGGCTGCCTGTATAAAACCATTAACCCTGTGGAAGACTTTTTTAGGAAAGGCTCTTTGTGCAAAGGAATGGGTTGCCAGTGCTTTCCCTAATTTGATGATGTCTGAAATTCCACAGTTAGAGCTTCTTTCCTTTAGCTTAAACTTAACACTGAGAAGCAACCAACTCTTTACATTTTAGAGGCATACTTTTGTGTGGTTGATTCTATCATATTTACTTGAAGAAAAGAGAGAAACAGTCATTACACACCAGAGGGCCTCAAGTTACATCATCTTGGTTTTTTTTTTTTTTTGGAGACAGAGTCTTACTCAGTGGTCCTAGGGTTGAGTGCTATGGCGTCATAGCTCACAGCAACCTCAAATTCTTGGGCTCAAGTGTTTCTCTTGCTTTAGCTTCCTGAGTAGCTGGGCTACAGGCACCTACCACAACACCTGGCTATTATTTAGAGATAGGATCTTGCTCTTGCTCAGGCTGGTCTCGAACTCCTGAGCTCAAGCCTCCCAGAGTGATGGGATTATAGGCATGAGCCACTGTGCCTAGCCCTATATCACCTTGTTGACTTGTCTAAGCCCCAGTTTTCACATTCATTATCCAGTGATATTAACTGAATAATTGTTATTAATTAAGTAATGAGGTATCAGTTACCTCATAAGGTTACGATGATGACTAGTGAGATAATATGCGGAAGTGTCTGGAGTAGGGGCTTACACATACTAAGCTGCCATCCCATCTTCTATTTGAAAGGAGAACAGTATGGTTTAGTTCACTGTGGTTACATTTATGCTAGTAGTCATGATATTTTGAGTCTGTTTATATCTACCATCTTATTCAGTCTCTTCAAGAGACCTGTGAAATAATTGTCATGACGCTGTCAGTTTTATACGTGAGAAAACTGAGGCTCTAGGAGATTAGGCAACTTGCACAAAGTCCTATGGATAGTAAGTACCTGGGATCAGAACCCAGTTTTCATTTGACTATAGAGCCCCCAATTTTAATCCCAGACCTTATAGCCAACCACATCAGTAGTGGCCGATCAACACTTCAATTGAGAGAAAAACCCAGGTTGGATGGCATAGTGGTCATCACACCCATGAGATCCACCTTTCCAGACTTGCACTGTCCTTGTTGACTGCCACACTCCCCTTTGGATGGGACAGTCTGAGTTTGTCTTACTAAACTGATACTTTCTCCATAGTCTGTGGGAAAATTGAGAATGTCACTTCTCCAAAGACCCAAGGGACACGCTGGCCGTGGCAGGTGGCCGTCTACAGGAGGACCAGTGGGGTCCATGATGGCAGCCTGCACAAGGGAGAGTGGGTCCTGGTCTGCAGTGGTGCCCTGGTGAATGAGCGCACTGTGGTGGTGGCCGCGCACTGTGTTACTGACCTGGGGAAGGTCACAGTCATCAAGACAGTGGACCTCAAAGTTGTCCTGGGGAAATTCTACCGGGATGATGACCGAGATGAGAAGACCATTCAGAGCTTGCGGGTAAGAGGGCTATAATTTGGAAACTCAGGCTCTGGTTCAACAAACACCAAGCACAGGAGAGCAGTGACTCTGCAAGCCCTGTCCCCTTGGCCTGTCAGCAGCCAGTCAGCCCAGAGCCTGGCATGTAGCAGTGCCCAATATTTCATATTGACAGGTACTAGGACAGGGAATCTAGAAAGTTGGTGGAGTCTTCCCCCCACCCCATTTAATAAAAAATAAGGTAGAGACAAATATCGTTTATCATGGTGGTCACTGAAAATTAATTACCTAAGAGTAAAATACACACGAACTTCTCAGAGCAGTGTATACCATAAATTGTAACAAATTAAAAATTAGAACAAGTATTTGTTTAATGGCTGACTCTGCCTGAAACCACTAGATTCACAAATGGTGTGATTTGTCACTGTGCTCTCATAGCCTAGCATGGTGCCCGGCTCAAAGTAGATGATCAACAAATATTCCTTGGGTGAAGAAAAAAAGTTCATTACTTGCTATGTTTGGGCCCTGTCCCAGGTAGGCTTCGAGGACATAGGTTTTTTTTTTGCAGTTTTTGGCCGGGGCTGGGTTTGCACCTGCCACCTCCGGCATAAGGGGCTGGCGCCCTACTCCTTTGAGCCACAGGTGCCTCCTGACATAGAGAGATTTTATCCCACATTCTCCTATCCAATTTACAATATACTTCTCTCTTTTCCTGCCTCCCTCCCTCTCTTCCATTCACTCATTCATTTGTCTATCCATCCTTCCTTCCTTGAGCTCCCGTAATATGCTATTCACTGCACATAGATACAGAAAAGAATAAGGCATGTTTTTTTTTTCTCTGAAGAGTCCACAGTCTGATGGGAGAGATAGACCAATATATAGTGGAAACTCCACAGTTGACCACCTCCCTAAGGTGACCTAGTTTTCATAGACCAGACATGCACCACCTGTATGTATCAGTGCAGTAATCCTCGTTCCTTATGTTGACCACCTCTGTATGTTGACCACTTGTTACAGTGCCTTGGGTGGTCAACTTACAGAGGTTCTATTGTATCATGATCAGTGTGACACAAGAAAAGCCCCAAGGCCATGCACCCAGATGCAGTTGAAGTAATAGAACATACACAAAAAATAACCCCACAAGGTATCATAGTCTTTAGCTCTAAAGGCCAGCACCAAAGAGAATGACCAGCAAGGCCTGGGGAAATCAGGGAAGATTCTTTGGGAAAGTCTTGTGGAACATTCTGGGTATAGCTCCATCTTGTAGGCTTGAAGGTAAATGAAATGTTTACAGTGAACCGGAGGTTGCAAACTGGTAACCCGTAGGGGTTTATGCCTTGATGGTGTTGGCATATTTTTTAAATCACATGTTTGCCAACACCTAAGTCAGAATGTTGTCCATCTCTCGTATTTGTAGATTTCTGCTGTCATTCTGTATCCCAACTATGACCCCATCCTACTCGACGCCGACATTGCCATCCTGAAGCTCCTGGACAAGGCCCGCATCAGCACCCACGTCCAGCCCATCTGCCTCGCTGCCCCTCGGGACCTCAGCACCGCCTTCCAGGAGTCTCGCATCACTGTGGCTGGCTGGAACGTGCTGGCAGATGTGAGGAGTCCTGGCTTCAAGAACGACACGCTGCACTCGGGGGTGGTCAGCGTGGTGGACTCGCTGCTGTGTGAGGAGCAGCATGAGGACCACGGTGTCCCAGTGAGTGTCACTGACAACATGTTCTGTGCCAGCCGGGACCCGACTGCCCCTTCCAACATCTGCACTGCAGATACAGGGGGCATTGCAGCTATGTCCTTTCCGGGACGAGGGTCTCCAGAGCCACGCTGGCATCTAGTAGGGCTGGTCAGCTGGAGCTATGACAGAGCATGCAGCCACAGCCTTTCCACAGCCTTCACCAAGGTGCTGCCTTTTAAAGACTGGATCGAGAGGAACATGAAATAGGTCAGCTAGAGGTGCATTGAGAAGCTTTTCCAGGCATCCATCTTGTATGCCTGTTGTTGCACGAAGCAGTCTGTGGACCTGGAGTATGATTTTGTCCACGAACTTGGCTGTGCCAGGGATTTTTATTTCAGGGATAAAACTCAGTAGCAGGTGAATAGAGAGCTCAGTGTTTGATATGACACTGCCTTCCTGACTGCTTGGACAGCCATTTGGAAGATACCAGGACTTGAAGGAACTGGGTCTCTTCAAAGGAGACTATATGAATAGAATAGAAAACTCCCCATTCAACTGACCTGCTGGCCATTTCCACCTTTCTGTGACATCAATGCCATGGTCAGTTCTGGTAGAGAGGGGCTTGGCCCAGGGAAGTCTGGGCTTCACAAGGCCTTTGTCAAGGTTCCAGCCAAACCCAGTTCCAGACCGCCTACAGGACAGCCCAGGGCTGGGGTGCTGTGCATGCTTTTGTGATATGTGGCCACAGTACGGTCTGGTCCCAATCTCTTGCACACATTTTAATAAAACAAGGGTTGCCTTCATGACCCACAAAACAAATGTTCTGTGCTCTCACTCCTGCATGCTGTGTATCTGAGTTACATATATTTGTATCAGGGCAATGGCTTGGTTATAGCCCCTTAAAAATAGAACCAACAGTTGTTAATTCCCAAGTAACAGGTATGACAAAGTTAGTGCCATCTGTTCGGTACCAACCTTTGGAGCTTGGCAGGTCATTTGCTGGGGGATGAGGAACATTGATACCCTAAGCTAAGGTGCACACAGAGGGCAGCACCAGGGCTAAGATGATTTCTAGGATGACCCCTGGTTCTTATCTTCTAGATCCAGCACAGAGCTCTGCTTTGAACTATCAGTCTTCATGGCATGTTTTTCTAGCATCTGGATTAGAGTCACGTATTTACTCCCGTTCAAATTGGACACACAAAGAAACCACAGCGTTCCTGTTTCCTATAACTGCTGTGGTTTTCTTCTCAAGCCCCACCCTCACCTCCCACTGGACAGTGGAGAAAACCAAATGAATTCGGTCCAATCCAATCCTCAAGTGCTAGTTCAGAGTCTCTCTGTTGGTGGCTTTCTCTTGTATCCTTTCTCTCCTTTTCTCAGCACCAGTTGTCTCTTTGTAAGATGGAACCATGGAGGCTCACATGCCTTGGGCCACCAGCACCCCGGGGAGGGGGACTCCTGAGTGCCTTCCTTCTCCTGGGCACTCTGCTGACATTTGCTGCTGGAGGCCGGAGCTAACATGCCTTGTGCTGTGTTCTTTTCCCTATGTTCCTGGGGCCCAGTGTTCCCTCCTGCTGAGCCAGCTCCCCAACTCTCAGGGAGGTACTGGTGCTCCCGAAATCTCCTGGTGACTCCTATTTGACCCTGGTTTGGGTCACACAGCCTCACAGCTGTAGTGACGACTGTCTCTGGCGGCTGCCCCCCGACTCTGAGCTACCTGCTCTCCCTTCCTTGGGGCCTGTGGGAACTTCTAGGTCTTTTCCGCACAAGATGGAGCTCAGGCTTGTTGCCCCACATCCCTGAAGACGTCTGCCTTCTACAGACCCAAACAGCACCTGCACCGTTTCCTCAACCCATCTCACAGAACTCAAGGATTTTAGACCCAAGACCAGAGGTGAGAACATACTGAACTCCCAGCCTCCCTTCCCATCACTGGCTCTCCACATTATCTCCTGAGCTAGAGGAGAATTTCTTCTGCTTTCTCTGTTAGGCTTTCTTGGGGCTTTCCAGAAGTCACACCCTCTTTCTGTCCTCCAATCGTGTGCTCCCATCCTCTTCATCTAAGAGCAGTGGATCGGTTATCAATTGCTGAGTACAAATTCCCCAACACTTAGTGGCGTAAAACAGGGAAGGTTTATTCTCCTACAGTTTTAGTGGAGTGGGAGACCAACTTAGCCTGAGCTGGCAATCAACCGCAGCCTTGACCCAGGCTGGAAGATTTGATTCTACAGATATTTATCAAGTCACCCAAAGGTTTGTTTATTATTTATTTCTAGTTTTAAGCTTAGAACGCTTGGATCGGGCAAGGTGTAACGGGAATTAGATCAGATAGATCTCAATTCAAACTCCTGTCCTTCAACTTATTTTCTGGGTGATGTTGGACAAGTAATTAGCCTCTCTACCTCAGCTTCATCATCTGTTAAACTGGCATGATAAAATCTTGGGACTGTATTGTGGTAGCTGTGACAATAAGTGAGGTACCATGTAATGCAATGAACGTAATACATGGGATCGGGGCCGGTGCCAGGGCCGGGGCTATCTGGCTGGCCACAGCTCTTCAAAGCTTGGTAGGCAATTCACACACGGGTGTCTATGTACATACCCTCTGTCCCCAAACTCTGTCCTGGCCCCCCATCTGGGCCATCATGTTCCCCTCTTTCTTGACACTCTCTTTACTACTTAGTGTCATTTCCCTCCCTTCTGTGTCACCACACAGATTTGGTTCACACATGCCTCATTGCAGCTATGACTCTGCCCCCTCAGAAGCTGAATCTGGCCCCAAATCCTGGGGTCACCACACCTGGGTGCTTGGTTAATAGCTCCATGGCCACTTGCCACCACTCCTGGACCTCTGTGCCCCAGCACTGCTCTTATAGGCTGTGAATCCTTGATGGTACTCAGCTGGGTCCTCCAAGTCAGGACCTGAGAATCACACACGGGCCTGTCTGCTGGCCATGTCAGGGTGCCGTTGGAATATTGTCCATTTCTCTTTGTAACATGGCCCTTGCATCCTAGGGCAGGACCCCAAAGATAAGAGGTTCTCATCTCTCAGCTGGAAATCTCAAGCAGATAGCAGTCAGGGTCTTCTCAGAGAATCAGAACTTTTAAAAGACGTGTAGAATAAGGGGTTATTGTGACCGCATAATATAGTGGGCACTGGTGGAGAAGTCTGTGCGAGGCTGCTCTCTTTGCTCTTGACGTTGGACCTGAAGTCAAGCAGGCCAGCTGGGGAAGGAAGGATGAATGCAAAGTTGGTAGGAAAGGGGCAAAAGGAAACATGTGTTTGTCCCTCCTGCCCCCAGCCTCTGTGATGGGAGTGGCCTGCAGAAGTGGGTGACTTTTGCCTGTAGCTGCACACTCACTAGCCTGGGGGCTACAGGGAAGGGGACTCCGCAACATGGTTTCAGCTTCCCTAAGTTGGCAGGGAGCAAAGCCATCCAAGTCATGGCGTATTCATGCTGGAAAAGCGGTTGCCAATTCTTCTCTGGGGAGAGTCAGAGGAGGCTCCTCTTCCTCCGGAATTGTTTGGTTCTAATTTCTTCTGTGCTGATTGTTTGGGGTTTTAAGTACACACATGTAGCCCTGACCTCTGCCGTTCTATCAGCGAGGCTTGGGAGCCTAGGAGTCGATCTGGCATTGCTAACTAGGAAGTGCTGTTCTCCTGTTAAAGATAAAACATTTCACAGAAAGTCTGTATGAGTCAGCGTCATTCTGTGACCGTGATGGACCAAGATATGAACAAGACCACTTCGGATCTTGTGTAGTAACAGACACCAGCAAGACCATGGTGCAAACCATGAAAATACCAAGTAGCCTCCTCTCCTGAGTGAGTGAGTGCTGCTGCTTCACCAAATGCAGCTTTAGTCTCTATTTAGTCTTCCTTCCCTATAGATTAGATTTATTAAGATGACAAGTTGTAGAATTACTCCACTTCCTGACAGCATCCAATCCAGAGCGAAGCCCCGCTTCCTTGAACCCTCTCTAGAATACTGAACAGAAGCCCCAGTCTATAAGTTCCTTCTACACACTCTTGACGAGACACCCCACAGTCCCTGGGATGTGTGTTCCTCCTCATTGCAAGGAGCCCCAAATCTAACTCGTTCAATGGCAGATGTCTTTCTGTACACAGGTGTGTACGTAGACAGTCCCTGACTTGCAGTGTCTCATCTTATGAGTTTTTGACTTTATGATGGTGTGAAAGTGACATACTTTTAGTAGAATCCATGCTTCATGGACCCGTACAACCATTATTTTTCACTTTCGTTAGACTGCTCAAAAAATTACACAAGATCTTTAATACTTTATTATAAAGTAGGCTTCGTGTCTATTACAATCTTATGATAAAACAAAATTTTTGCACGACTCTAGGCTATTGTAAGTTTTATGAGCACATTTAATGTAGGTGAGGCTAAGCTATGATGTTTAATAGGTTAGATCTATTCAATGCATTTCCACCTTACAATATTTTCAAGTTATGATGGGGATATTGGCATGGAACCCCACTGTTATTTGAGGAGCAGCTCTCTCTCTGTGTATATATATGTTTACCTTAAATCATATATAATAGCTTTTACTTAAATTTTGTTTGCCATGGGATAAAATTTATATGATTCATAAAATTTAAATGGAATTTATACAATTTAAGTAAGACTCACACTTTCCTTGGTAATGGCCAAGTTTATATGCTAAGTAGACTTTACACAAGTAACTGAGTGGTCAATCTACATTGTATTCTTTTACATAAACTCACACAAGACTTGAGAGGAAGGGCCCATGTAAGCAGGACAGTTAGCTTTTCATTCACAGGGAAGTTGGACTTCAATGGTATCTCTGGAGTTAAGGATGAGAAGGAAGATAGAGTTTGTAAAGTGCTTATGAGTAAACATGGAGGGGGCTGTCTTGGGGAAGACCTGATTATTTCCCACCATGAAGGTCGGGTTGGTTAGCCAAGGAGAAGCCAATTGGTGATGGATCCCACATGCTGGGGATTTCTTACTGCACATTTGCAAACATCAAGCTCCTGGCGACATCACTAGGAGAGTGACTGCTCTAGAAAGGCTCATCAGGATGGTTATATGAGCCAGTGGGCAGTGGTTAAAAGACTCAACCTGTGCTCAGGTCTCACTTCTGTCACTTACACATGGGCACCTTAGTCATGACGCTCAATCTCTATCCCACAGTTTCACCTCATTTGTAAATGGGAGCAAAATGATCTGGGCATTCAGTGAAAAGATGCATCTAGGAGATGGGTATTGAGCAGTGTCTGGCCCACTGAGCTCTGCAAATCTTGCTTGCTATTATGGTGGTGGTGGTTTTGTTGTTGTTCTTCAGGAGGAGGTTGAGAAACCAGTTACAAGAAACATCATGAGGGGCAGCGCCTGTGGCTCAGTGAGTAAGATACCGGCCCCATATACCAAGGGTGATGGGTTCAAACCCAGCCCTGGCCAAACTGCAAAAAGAAAATAGCCGGGTGTCATGGTGGGTGCCTGTAGTCTCAGCTACTGGGGAGGCTGAGGCAAGAGAATCACCTAAGCCCAAGAGCTGGAGGTTGCTGTGAGCTCTGATGCCACAGCACTACCGAGGGTGACAAAATAAGACTCTGTCTCTAAAAAAAAAAAAAAAAAGAAAGAAAGAAAGAAAGAAACATCGTGAGGGTTGAGGAAAGGAAAAGATGTTTTAGAATTCTCTCAAGGTCCCAGCATGTGGAAATTAAGTTTGGAGGGGGGTCAATAACACAAAATGGTGGGTAGAGATCAGTGGGAACAAGGATTAGTAGAAGAAAGCAGGGTGAGAAAAAGCAGCAATGGGATTGTTTG